ACCGCTCAGGAACGCCTTTTCATGACTAAGCCCCTTTCTTCCCCTTTCCCAGGAGTCATTCATTCTGGATTTCATTTATCACAGACAGGGATGATCAGATCAACCTTCTGTTGCCTAACCTCTGCACCTCTCTGCTCACTTCTGACTAACTTCAACACCGATGGCCTAATTCTAGCCAGCTTGCTTTGGTCCAAAAAGACAACAATATATGTATTCATGACAAAGAAAGCAGATCTGATCAGCACTCTTAGATCTGATTTTAATTTGGGCTCGACGTCCTCTCTTGAACTCCACACAATCTCAGCAGATGGGCCACAGATACTGATGTCATTTCCTGTAGAGCTGATCTGCGCATCACGGCACGCGTCTGCGGCGCATTAAAGCCTGTGTTACGGCCACCGGAGCTGATCGCAGCTGGACTGGTGTTTATACTCATGGTTATTACATCGGTCACATCACATCTATATATATATAGATAGATAGACAGATAGATAGATAGATTGCATGTTCATTTGAGTACCAGAAAATACACAACACAGAATTTGTGAAAAAAAAAAAATTATATATTCATTATTATTATTTATTAATTTTAGATGTTTACATTTGGAAAAGCTGTGCTTCCTGCATAAACCTGTCCCTGGTGGTTTGGCAGTATCTTGCTTGCCCTACACAGTTACCTTGTTTAATTCCTTAATTCAAGTTATATATATTTTGTTCTATTTGTGTTAAGTTATTTATAATAAGTGAAGTGAAGTTTACTGTTAAGTGCACTGATGTCAGACTAATTTTGAATAATAAAGTTTATTGTTAAATTGTTAAATACCCTGTCTCCACTACATAGGCCTATGTTTGTCACATCATTATTAGTGTTTGATCACCACATTTGAGTTATCATTGTAAAAAATGTGTTTATGTATATATATATTCTGTTTATGTAGACTATATACTGTATTCTATATACAGTACCACTCAAAAGTTTGGACACACGAATGGGAAGTGTGTCCAAACTTTTGACTATACTGTACTATAATATAGCCTACACATAAAGAATATCGGCCGATATATCAGTATCTGTCTTTTTTTACTCCCCAATATCGGTATCGGCATCGGCCCCCAAAAAACCCATATCGGTCGGGCTCTAACAAATATTATTAATATTTGAATATAAATTATTAATTTACATGATTAATATTTAGAATGAATTGTTGATATAATTAATTAATCATATTGGTGATATAATATTATTAAGATTAATAATATAATTAAATATTAGTAATAAAAATATAATGACGTAGTCTCAACAATATATTAAATTGACTAAATTACTAAAATGAATTAATTAATTAATTAATCAATAAAGAAATAAATAGCACAATGCAATTGCACATTAACAAACATATATACAATGCATTATTAATTTATCAAATAATAGTAATATAATATAATTAATGAATTTTATTAAATTAAAAATATGAATATAACTGTATAGTCTCAACAATACACTAAATTAACACAGTTGTGAATTTTTCTTTGACACAAACCATGCTTATCATCATTGCAAGTAGACTTCTAAATAATAAATAAAAGACACATGTCAAAAGGCACAATAAGATTAATGTTATTGTTATCATGATATTAATATTATTGAATAACATTGTTCATATATTATTAATATTAACATAACTGCATAATCCCAACAATTTACTTTAAATTATGTTATAATTACTTTTTACAGTTTTGTTCATGAAAGATATCCTATGAAAATAATAACCCTATTTCCAGTACATATATTAGGGCAATATGTTTTAGGTGCCGAAATGTGAAAACACCGGCTAATGTGAAAAGGACAATACTGTTATGCAATGGAACCTAAAGCATTGATAAGTATCAGCCAAAGCAGACAGGGCTGATGCAGCATAATTTGAATGACTCCAGACAGAGGAAGAGCAAACGCTATGCAGGAGTCATGCAAAGGTTGCTAGGTACTGAAAGCACTGCAGTCTGCTGTGCAATGACTGTTACACACTTGCATGTTCAGCGCATGCTGAGAAGAGCCTATCCAGACGTCTGCAGCGCTCGCGCTACAAGAATGGATTCATTCACTGGTGGCACATGTCTATAATTTCTCGGTCGTAAGTCAGCATCTCTGACTGCCTGTTTATCCACATGCATGTCTAGAGCAGTCTCGTTACTGAACTGGAAAAAAGACCCAATATTTCTAGGAGAGAAACTGGGAATTAAGTGGCATTAAGTGGCTTTTACATTGCACTCCAGACAAGTTTAGAAGTTAAAGACAAGAGAAAATCTTCCCAAATCTAAACCGATACAGAATTTGGGATTTATCCTGACCAATCCGCCACCAATGATTGTAGTTCAAATGCTGCTGATTTACTTAATGGGAAAGAGAGTGCTTAAGCACAACAGCTGTGAAAAAAATAGTGTCATGTAGGTTGTCTGCCGTCCAAACCTCGTCTCCTTGGCTCCATGCAGTCTTGCTCTTGTTGCTCCAGTATCATCGGTGGCGTCTGTGGGGATAACAGATCACACCTCTTTTGTGAGTGTGGGACTGCATGAGGGCCAAGGCTCAGTAAATCAGCACCAGTGGAGTGCAGAACTGGACAGAACCAGCAACGAGTGTGTTCTGGGTCCAGACACGGAGTCTAGTATTTAAAAGGCCTGATGAGAGAGAATTTACACAAGAATTAAAACGCATTTAATCTAAACATGACTGCATGGCTTTTTTCTACTAATTATAATTTATTAATGTCATTAGTCATCTCATTCAAACAGCACCTTAGAATTAAGAGAACAGAATATGAATTAAAGATTATTATTTAAAGAGAAAATTAAAATATAAAATGTTTTTATTCAGCAAGGATGCATTAAATTGATGAATAGTGCATACTATGTTACACAAGATTCCTATAGTCCTTATAAATGCTGTTCTGCTCTATTCTATTCATCTAAGAAAAATGCTCAACAAAAATATTAAGCAGCACAACTTTTTTCAATGTTAATAATAATAAGAAATGTTTCTTGTGCAGTTATTAGCTACGGTGGCGTCTGTGGGGATAACAGATCACACCTCTTTTGTGAGTGTGGGACTGCATGAGGGCCAAGGCTCAGTAAATCAGCACCAGTGGAGTGCAGAACTGGACAGAACCAGCAACGAGTGTGTTCTGGGTCCAGACACGGAGTCTAGTATTTAAAAGGCCTGATGAGAGAGAATTTACACAAGAATTAAAACGCATTTAATCTAAACATGACTGCATGGCTTTTTTCTACTAATTATAATTTATTAATGTCATTAGTCATCTCATTCAAACAGCACCTTAGAATTAAGAGAACAGAATATGAATTAAAGATTATTTAAAGAGAAAATTAAAATATAAAAATTTTGTGAGTGTGGGACTGCATGAGGGCCAAGGCTCAGTAAATCAGCACCAGTGGAGTGCAGAACTGGACAGAACCAGCAACGAGTGTGTTCTGGGTCCAGACACGGAGTCTAGTATTTAAAAGGCCTGATGAGAGAGAATTTACACAAGAATTAAAACGCATTTAATCTAAACATGACTGCATGGCTTTTTTCTACTAATTATAATTTATTAATGTCATTAGTCATCTCATTCAAACAGCACCTTAGAATTAAGAGAACAGAATATGAATTAAAGATTATTATTTAAAGAGAAAATTAAAATATAAAATGTTTTTATTCAGCAAGGATGCATTAAATTGATGAATAGTGCATACTATGTTACACAAGATTCCTATAGTCCTTATAAATGCTGTTCTGCTCTATTCTATTCATCTAAGAAAAATGCTCAACAAAAATATTAAGCAGCACAACTTTTTTCAATGTTAATAATAATAAGAAATGTTTCTTGTGCAGTTATTAGCTATTAGAATGACATCTGATGGATCATTTAATCATGAAGACTGGAATACAAAAAATGAATTCTACCTAAATTTTGTTTTTAACAACAACAATAATAAAATCATAGTTAAGCCAAAAAAAAAGCATATTAGATGAAGCCTGAACATTTTTGAATGGTCATTACACAAAGCAAGCTTTGAAAGAGAAATGCTCTACTGTACATTGAGCTGCAAAAAAATTAAAAAAATAAATAAAATAATAAAAGGTTCATCAGAACAATCTCGAATTCCTAACATTGAAACCATGCAGTCCTCCAATTCAGAACCCAGCCAACGCCAGCCTTGACTCAAGCACCAGTTATTGTTACTCACTTTCTCCCTCTGTTGGTCAACAGCGATTCCGAGTGACCCAGCCAAGCACTTGTCTGTCAGCCTAGTAAACTTGCAAGATAAAAACAATTACACATACATTTACCAGCATAGAAAGATGTTTGTAGTTTCCCATTGCATATACCATGTTTAAAACACATGAACTTATGATGAACACTTGCTGTGACTATGCTGACAGAAAACGACCCAAAGTGAAACCACCACGACTGATTTCAGACAAATGTCCAATACGAAGACAAACCTGGTTTATTTGTCTATGCAAGCCTAATAAATCTAATTTTACCTTTGAAAACGCTGCGTCTTGAATTGACTCTTCATTATCATTTTAAATGACAACTATGAATCACAGCATTAATAATAATAATATGCCATAATAACAGCAATGTCTGTGGTCTATTTTTGTCCAAAAAATGCTAGACATCCTATAAATAGCATCCTAACCACAAAGTACTTGCGTTTGGGGGCACTGAGGCCAGGGAAAATACACCTTGCCAAAATCATAAGCGGTTATACCTCAAGCACGGCGAATAGTTGCCGCATTCAGTCCCTCTGGAGAACTTTTAAAAAATTAAAAAATTATTGGCAGCCAAGAGCAAGAGAAAACATATATGCATGCACTAAACCCGCCTTTATCTGCTTTCTCACACATCAAAACCTCCCCCAAATTACGCACCGCCCCTACCAAACCCTTCAGGAGTCAGTAAATTCAGCATTCCCTCTCAGACTCAGTTCAGAGTGGCATCCACAGGGGTCATGAAACGGAGCTGAACTTCACGTTTAGATGAATTAACTGCACGCACAGGACCGGGACTGCCATTTAGACTCACTTTACTGGCTGGACCGCGCGTAGTTCATCTTTATCTGATGCTGCGTAAAAGCTGACCGTGGAAACCGCTGCAGGCGCTCTAAAGAAATCGCATCAGAGGATACCACTCAGTGTGATTTTGCTGCCACTACATATAAACTATATCGAGCACTTGCGCTTGTTTACACGAGGAGACAAGAACTGTTGGTCCGGACAGACCTGCTTCTCATCCAAATGGATGCGCAATGATGGATTAATCGCTTTTCGATGCAACTTTTCCGCGCGGTGCCCAGATAAACCCCTCCTGAGGATTTTACGCCAGCAACCTTTACCTGATTTATCCTTTCAAGATGTCATCGGAGTATTTGATAAAGTCACTGCTTATGCTCTTTCTAGCACTCTTCTCCGCCAATGCGAGCAACTGGCTGTAAGTCAATATCACTTTCTTCATTCATGTGATGTTTTGACGTCTAGGTTGACTGTTAAGGTTGACTGTTATGACTAAAGTCAGTCAGATTCCTAAAAGCAAATGTCAAATACAGCATGTGAACTACAAATCTGAAACTAAGCGAATTTGTGAATAAGATTATAACATATATAGATTAGCCTACCATTTTTGAAAGCGCAGAAGACATGAATTAGCCCGCAACACAGTTGTAAACTTTAAGTAACTAACGTAGCCTTTAATAGAAAATTAAAATGTCAAAGCATGCACTGTATGGACGACACAAAGTATAAGGAAATGAAACCGGTTATTTGGAGACGTTCAGTTAATGTGCTTTTGGCACAGCCGCGCTTGGCGCTGGTTGCGCGCAGCCTGGAGAGCAACGCATGAATATGACAGCAGTAACAGCTCTGAAGAGAGCTGTATAAATGAATCACTTATGATAATTTATGATTATAGCAAAGAACTCATAAATCAATGACATGATTTTGATATTTATATAGTTGAGAAGCAGAATAGCATGCTTTGTTAAGGCCACATCAAGATGTTTGCATTTCTAGGTGTTTAGAATTATTTATCTGTATCCTCGGGGCAGAAATAGCACATCATTTAATCTATCCAGATGTAGTTGAGTTTTCGATGGAAGAGTGTTTTTAACTAAAGGCGTGGTGACAGGTTTGGGACATGTACAGACACGCTTCACACTAAAGGAAAACCTCCTACCTGTCTACAAAATATGATCATTCTGACAGGAGCTTGTACACTATTCCAACCCCATCTCAGGACAGGTATTAGCAGGTAGCCAAATAGACATTAGACAGGTTTTCTTTAGCAAACAAAAAATGTGATCGCTTCGAGTTATATGAGCAACACGTGGGCAAGAAGCTGAAATGTTGTCTAACGATCAAGACACACTGTAAATATTATTTACAGGTTAGGGAAAACAGTTAATGGAATTTGAATGTCATAAAATGTGACTTTAAGTTTTGATAAGAACTGTAAGGTTTAAGTTTACGATTAATTCGAACAACAGGGAAATGGCACAGAGAGACTCGGAGTAAAAACTTAAAACATGCAATATCCAAACAACATTAAAAAATTGTAAGGTGTTTTTATTTTATTTTAATTCTTAAAATAAAGTAGAAAACTATTGCTCAGTGTCAACTGCATGACCATTAACAATACATTATGGTGAATTTAAAATAAATTCAGTAAAATTGTTCCATGCTTTCTTAAAGATCATCTTCAGACATATTCCTGAGGTAAAACTTCTAAGCAACATAGCAGTCTTATTTTAGTTCAGATGAAATAAACAGTGATTTTATCATGACTGATCTTAAAATGAGATTTAAATGCAAAGTAAGATTAAGAAAACTCTTTATGTTTTGTCTCAATCGTTTCAAATAAATTCAAAAGGTATGACTGAGTAAGCAAACTTTTTCTGTTTTGTCTCCTGTTGGTTGCATATAAGAAGCCTGTGGATTATTGTGCAGCAAATCTTAAAAATAAAAGTACTTCAATGGCTTTGCTGTATAGTAGGTTAGGTGTAGACTTTAAAACGTTCTTGATGTTTCATTATAGGTTCTTCAGTTAAGTGTTTTGGCTTCTAAACTCTTTGAAAGACCAGAATATAAACATTCTGAAAACAAGATAATAAAGTTTTTTTGGTGCTTAAAAAGTATTAAGCTGTAAAGCATTTGTAGTTCTAGTATGAAGAGTCATTTTTAAGAGTGTGCATTAAATAACGTTCTCCTGTTTACTAGGGTGTAAAAGTCCACTCTTTACTCAGTAGTCATAATTAAATGTTTTGAAGTACAGTCGAGAGCTTTTCATTGGTGTGAATGTATTATTCTTGAGCACATCCATCAGCACCTGTAGAGGGTTGAGGTGTAGGTGCAGGTCATGAGAGCAGTTGTACTGCACCTGCACATCTTCAAACCTCCATCAACAGCATGTGCTTGTCAGAATCAGAATCAGAATCAGAAGAGCTTTATTACCAAGTATGTTTACACACACAAGGAATTTGACTTGACGACAGGAGCTTCCAGTGTAGAAGAAAGTACAAACATAGTGCAGACATACATAGGAATAACACAGTAGGGATGTAATATAACACTAATATAATAAAAAAAATAAAAATTGAGTAATGTACTATATACAGAAATAGAAGTATAGGAAAAAATGTAATTGTTTAGATAAATGTACAGAAATGTTTATTAGTGTGCAGATATGTTATTTACAAAGTGTGCAGTTTAATATAAATATAACTATGTTAGTTGTGATGGACGATGTATAATTATGAAAGATTAATTGTTCAGACTGAGTATAGCCTGTGGGAAAAAACTGTTCTTGTGCCTGGCTGTTCTGGTGGTCAGTACTCTGTAGCGACGGCCAGAAGGCAACAGTTCGAAGAGAGTGGGCTGGGTGTGAGGGGTCCAAGGTGAGTTTTTTAGCCCTTTTCCTCACTCTGGAGATGTAAAGATCTTGGAGGCTGGGCAGAGGGGCACCAATAATCCTCTCAGCAGTCCTGACTGTCCGTTGTAGTCTCTTGATGTCTGATTTGGTTGTTGAACCAAACCAGACAGTTATGGATGAACACAGGACAGACTCAATGATAGCAGAGTAGAACTGTTTCAGCAGCTCCTGTGGCAGGTTGAATTTCCTCAGCTGGAGAAGGAAGTACAACCTCTGCTGGGCCTTTTTTGCAATGGAGTCTATGAGTGTCCCACTTCAGGTCCTGAGAGATTGTGGTGCCCAGGAACCTGAATGACTCCACTGTTGTTACAGTGCTGTTCATGATGGTGAGTGGGGGGAGTGCAGGGGGATTTCTCCTGAAGTCCACAGTTTTGAGCGTGTTAAGCTCCATGTTGTTAAGACCGCACCAGACAGCCAGCTCTTTAACCTCCTGTTTGTAAGCAGACTCGTCTCCGTCCTTGATGAGGCCGATGACTGTAGTGTCATCTGCGAACTTCAGGAGCTTGACAGAGGGGTCTTTAGAGGTGCAGTCATTCGTGTAGAGAGAGAAGAGCAGTGGGGAGAGTACACATCCCTGGGGGGCGCCAGTGCTGATGGTGATAGTCCTGGATGTGAGTTTGCCCAGCCTCACTAGCTGCTGCCTGTCTGTCAGGAAGCTGGTGATCCACTGACAGATGGAGGTGGGCACGGAGAGCTGGGTGAGTTTGTCTGAGAGAAGGTCAGGCATGATGGTATGCCTGCATTGTTCATGCAAATATAAGCTTACATTGCTTTGTAATATTTTATGAATGATCATTTGCAGTTTGTTTGTATTAAAAATGCCAGGAATGAATCATTAAGTAGAGACTATAAATAACAGATGGTAAAATGTTATTAAACAAACTCTTTTCTAAATAAACATTGCAAATAGTCACTTTCAATCCTTATTCTAATGCATTTTGACAGGCAACGACTATTGCTTTTATCTTGGTCTGTTCCAACTTAGTGTGCTATGTCTTTTCCAACTGATTGAACAGTTTCCCTGTTGTAGATGAACAAATATCTTCTAAAAGAATTTGTAGAATTCTATTAAAAAATCCTGACTCTATCATTCCATCCGATCTTTAAAGGAATAGTTCAACCAAAAAAAAAGAAAATCTACTCACCCTTGGGACATCCAAGATATAGATACGTTTGTTTCCTCATGGGAACAGATTTGGAGAAATGTAGCATTACATCACTTGCTCACCAATGGATCCTCTGCAGTGAATGGGTGCCGTCAGAATGAGAGTCCAAACAGCTGATAAAAACATCACAATAAGTAATCCACATGACTCCAGTCTGTCAATTCACACCATGAAGTGAAAAGCTGCATGTTTAAGCTGCTTGAAGAAAAACAAATCCATCATTACGTTTTTTTTTTTTTTTTAATTCAAGCCCTCTATGCATGCTAATGCTTTTTCAGTGAAAAAGTCGTCTCATCTGAATCAGGAGAGAAATATGCACAGATCAAGAGCACGGTTTACAAGCAAAAATTAAACAAATATGTTGGTGGATTTTGATGTGAGAAGACAACAGGGGATGGACTTTTCCACTGGAGAAAGCATTATTATGGATTATGGAAGAGACGGGTTAAAGTTAAAAAGTTAAATTGATTTGTTTCTCACAAACATGCAGCTTTTCATTTCACAAGACATTAAATGATGGCCTGGAGTCGTGTGGATTACTTGTGGGTTATTGTGATGTTTTGGACTTTCATTCTGACGGCACCCATTCACTGCAGTGGATCCAATGGTGAACAGAAAAAAACAAACTCATCTCAGGATGGCCTTTTATTAACCTATTCCTTTAAGTAACCAACATAAGGCCTATGCAACCTTTTTAAACTTTTAAAGTTTATCTTAATGAATTTTCTTTTTCTAGTTTCATGATGCAACAATTTCAGAACTAAAGAAAGAGTTGCATGGTGTCAAACAGATGTTTTTTGACATGCTGAGGTCACAGAAAGTTTACTAATGTAAAAACGCACTTGCAGTTGTGATTATGAATATAATACCAAACCATGCAGTTGTATTTGTTTGGGAAGCGATACAGTGTCTCTCATTGAATGGGATGGAAAGAACAGTGGTTGAGACGTTTGCACAGGACGGTCAATAAATAGTTCACAGCTGATGAGCAACATGAGAAGAGAGAAACCTCTAATGCGAAATACATCCTGGCGCCGAGCACTGATAACACAAATAACATCAGTGACAACAGGGTAATGAAGCTGTAAAACCTGTTGTCACATACAGCAGCCTATTAAAATGTTAATTTGATAAAACCAGGCAACATCCACCATTTCCCTCCTCAACTAGCCTAAGAAAATGTTCAAGATGGCATAAAAAGACAGGTGATGGACAAATACAGTAAAAGAAAGACTGAAAATAGGAATTTGAATAATCTCTAATTGAAAGCCCATTAAAAAACAACTGACATTCTTCTTTACAAATCCTCGTTTTGTACTTCTAATTCTTGACCGTTGTTTT